GACACGTCTTCATGGGGATGGTAAGTCACTTTGGAACAATAGAAGGAAACATTAGCTCAAAATTCATTTTTTGAAAATTGAAAAGGTCATGAAACAGCCTGTTACAGGTGTGAATGCAACATTCGACGATGATGAATACTTACCGTGGCCGTATACACCAGAGAAAATTACAGGTAGTTTTTGGTATTTAATTTACTGACTTGAAGTTTAATGACAAAAACTGTCTTATTTATTTAAAAAACACAATTTTTTACATCCGTCTTCCGAAATTCTCAAACATGAGATTTAAAAAGGAGAATAATCATCATTCCCTGTTTAATTGCAGAATTTTTTGTAACCGTCTGAAACCGAAAATTTTTTTTAGCTTTTCGTTCAAAAACTTCCGGTCCTCCTTAGTTTTCTCCCCCACTTCCTTCTTCGACCTCCCAGTTCGTTGCATTTACAGATGCCTATTTCGTTGGCTGTGACGGTCGACAAGATTGTTACAATCCGACATTCTATTACGATGAAGCGCGAGAGGATCATCTTGTGGAACTGTATCACTTTTGGAGAATGAATAACAGGTAAACACGGTCATTAAACGAGTGTGACCACTTGTTTCAATAAGAAAAAATGCACTAAAATGCCCGTAAAAGTCCCCGTAGATTTTCTTTTCCAACTCCTTTGGACAGACTGAAAATGTCGTCGGAAAAACTTTTTCTTTCACAAAACTCAGCTTTTTTCTTCACTGAAATGACTAAACTTTAGCTCTATATTCGCCGATCCTAACCTGCCTGACTGCTCTTCTCCTCTTTAATTCAAAGTGACATACTGTTCAGTTCTCCATTCCCCCTCCCCTTTCATCTCTTTTTCATATTCCTCTTTTATATACATTTCTCTTCTTTTTTTTGTCTCTATTTCAACAATCCGCTCCTCCTATTCCTCATCATTTAAATCGTCTTTCTTTTTGGAATGGGGTTTTCTAATCTGTCACGGATTACTGTAACTGGTTTTGCATATAGTAATTGAGAAGGAGGAGGAGAAGATTGGGGTAGTGCTTGCAAATCTGTTTCTTTGTTTTTCTAGGTTGGCTAAACTACAATTTGGTTTCAGTTTTTGAGTATTGAGACATAGATTTTATAATCATTCACGCCCAAAATGCACACTCCCTCTCTAAATTACAAAAAAGGAATTGTCGTGAACTCTGACGTCGGATACGCAATCACCAAATGTTCTGCGCAGTAGTATTAGAGGTTCTCCCTTCTCCATCACCATGTTTGCTTATGCATGTTATCTAATGTTGCCAAATGTTACGTCTTCACCCCTAATGACTAGTGCATATGTTCCCTCTTTTTAGTCGGTCGGTACGGCTTAAAGGACGCCTTCCCGTTTCCTCTATCACCTCACTTAAGTGCTTGAGCATCTGGAGGAGAAACAAAAAACTAATCCTAGTCATCTTCCGTTCCCCTCTCCCCGGCTGTTCCCATTTCCGATCGAATTTCTAACATTTCTCATAATAATAATAAGAGACTTCGAGCACACATGGGGAGTAAAAAAAGAAAGAAAAGATGTTGTTTTGTTTGTTTCCGTTCCATTTTTTCTTCTGATTTTGATTGGTTTTTCCTCCCGTTTTCCCTTCTACTGCATCATTTCGAACAACAAGGAAAGGATCATTACTGATCTCTTTTTCCGTTGACGTAAACAAAAAAAAAGGTTTTTGAATTGGAGGATTAGGTGGGTTTTAGAATGGGGTTTGATATGAAGAATCGGACATTTTTTCTGGATGATAGTGAAAGTTATAACGCTGACTAGACCAAAATGGGATTTTGCTCTGATGATTCCAGTTTTGCTCCTGGAGAGCTCGAATTGGTCATGATTATCCTAGAAACTACGAAAGGCTATCGCTCGGTTCGGGTCCGAGTTATTCAATAGCATTGTTCGATAAATTCATTTTCAACCTATCACGTTGACCTTCCGTACGAAGCATTTTTTTTTAACTCTTTCTGTTCGAATAGTTCCTACCTAAACTTATTTTATCTACTTTAAGTCCACAGTATCTATTGTTGAAAACTATTCCTATCTTTCAGTTCTTCTGATAAGCTCAAGTTTTATTAGTTTTTTGAAATTTCCAGACTTTTCCTCCTCCTGTTTCTTCTGACCACTACCTAACTACCCGTCCCCCTCTCTTTCCCGTTTTCCCTATTTTCTCGGCGTCTCGCGCCCGCTCCTCAGAAAAAACGTATAGGCATCGCTGACCAGTAGACGCCGGAGCCTCCTTAGCTCAGTTGGTAGAGCGTGAGACTTTTAATCTTAAGCACAGGTCATTCGTGGGTAGATCCGTTTAGGATGAGCGTTGTATTATAGGTCGTTACGGGTCCATAACGACTCCGTTTGCGAACGAGCGTTCGCAAACGGTCCGTAAATTTTAGTCGCAAACTGACCGTATACGGCTCTGTGCTTCTACCAATTCTTTTTGTTCCTAGAAGTTCGTAACTTCATCAATTTTCTTTTTTTAAAGCACCAGACTCTTAAAGAACAGAAAACAAATGGAATGGTAAAAACAGATCAAAATTTTAGACATCATTTTCGCAAACGGGTGGGTTACGGATCCGTAACGAGAGTCGTTTTTGATACCGATCCGGGCCGTGCGCGGCTCCGGTGCATCCGTAACGGATCGGACGCGAACGACCTGTGAGGTCAGGGGTTCGAGTCCCCTAGGTGGCTTGACTTTTTGTTTTTTTTTTCAGTTTTGACTAGGTATGAACAGGAGAGTTTTGTAGGTGTAGGAGTATCGGGAATGCGGTTTATGGTAGCTTTTTCGGTTCTGCGAAGATTGTTGACAAGCAGTGGATTTTCTGCAAAATCTTCTCTAGACGAAATCTGTAATCCCTTCTTTTCTTCAAATACTACAATCTGTTCTAAAGTGTCCATCAGCCAAAACAAGGTCAAAGTGGGCGTGGCCTCCCTGCTTCTCACATACGGAAACAACCTCAGCTTCTTCTTCTTCTCTTCTTCATCCGCCTTCTTCTTCTTCTTCTTTTTCACATAACATGCTCACATTAAGGAGGTCCGTCGTCGGTCGTAGGACCCCTATAAGTATCCATTCGGAATATAAGTTGTCCCTTCTTTTTTTGCACTACTTCTTCTCATATCTTACTTTATTCTCTCTTCTTATTCTCACCTGCCTTTCTCTTCTTTTTCACTTTTTTTGCGGGGAGGCTGCAGCCGAGGGAGAGAGAAACTCTCACAAAAAACGACATCCATGACTCTCTCTGAATATCCATAAATCTCTATCTTTTCCATATTTTTTGTCGTTTGCCTAAATCTCAACACTCCTTGAATGTTTTTGTTGTTGTTCTCGATGGAGAAAAAGGCGTTTTGATCTGCAATTCAATTTTGTGGAGTTTGGCTGAAACTTGCGGGTTTTGATGTGTTGGGGGAAGGGTTATAGATTTGCAGAGACTCCTAGAACATACTGAAAGGTTTTGGAGACTGATCTCATTTCTGGCGTGTTTCTGCTTTTTTTCTTGTCTCATTCTTGAATTCGGCTCAATTTGAAAATATCGGCCAAAAAAAACAAAAACAGTGCCCTCATTGCAGGGGCTAACCTCCTACGCTTTCAGATTTTGGCGGGGATGAAGGAAACATTTTTGATATTTTCACATAATTTTGTAAGCGAATAAGAATAAAAAACTCCCGAATTTACACTGTTGCCTCTGAACTGAAAACCCATTCAGACACTTATCAAATAATAGCAGCACGGTAATTACTTCCTAAAATTCCAATGCTCGTTTTTAAATTTCAGTATTTTTCCTCTTCATTTTTTATCTACCAAACCCAAAATCAGCCTATTTTTGCACAGTTTTTTTAATCCCGATTTCAATTTTAAACCCGAACTGTCTTTTTTCTCTTACATTTTTGTCAAAACCTTTTTCTGATTATCATCAACAAATCAATTTTCAGATCCCATCTCTACCCATCCTATCCTTCAAACTCAAATGCTCAAATGTTCGGTGAAAGTCTAGTTTTTCATCTCCCTCCACTTCTACTTCTTCTATTCCACATCCATTCGGTTCGGTCATCGGAAGGTAAGAGAAACACAAGACCCAAATCAAATCCAATGTTTTTTCTTTTTTTTTCTCTATGACCCCCATAAATCTCCAGAATTGGGTCCCGGGAAATTGAATTACCCTCTTCCCTTTCTATTTTTTTTCCACTCTGGGGGTAGAAGAGCCAGGTGTCCGTCTCAAGGGACTTTGACGAAAAAAGCCTCTATAAAACATGAAAAAATCCTTGGATGTACATCTTGCTCCCCGACTTTTTCTTCTCGTTCATCAGATGCTCAGAATAATTCATGAGACAAGAAAAGAAGAGGCTAACTATTACTACTACGACTTCTTAATAGTTTGTTGATTCGGGAGCCTACTTCGAGGCGAATGTACGAATACATGTTTTTTAGAAGAAGACGTAGAAGATGAGGATTACAAATGAGGCTTCTGAAAAAGTTAAAGTTTTTGAAAAATCTGAAAATTCAAAAATTGAGGAAAACATGAAATTGGAACTATTGAATAACTAGACGATTACCGTTTTCACACTAAACCCGAAATTTGTTTTTCAATTTCTCACTTTTCCCAAAATAAAAGACAAGAAAAGACAGGGGTTAGAAGTTTCGAAAACCTATGGAAAATCCTATTTCTTCTCTGCGTCTCTATTTCTCACACACTATTTCGCGAGAAGGAAGTTGAGGGTTATTCTATTGTGTCTAGAAGGGGTGAATTGTGGATCAGAAGCAGAAAAAAGTGTCAAGAGATTGAATATTTTGGAAAAAGACTGGAAAGAAAAAATCTGGAAATTGTTTGAAAATTTATAAATTGAGTTTTCTGAAAATTGGAATAAAACGCATTACAGATGGGGTACCAATCGAAACAATTCATGCTCCAATGTTCGAAGGTTTGATTTGAAACCAGTAGATTCTCTTCCTCTTTCCCTTCTTTTTCACTTTTCCACCATCCTTCCCTTTAGATTGTTTTCCACTTTCAGATTGCCATTTTTCAAACTGATTGATTTATTTGCACGCCTACAAAACCACAGCTTCCACTGCATCAGATTCAGAAAATCCTTCATTTCCAGATGTATTCGATGTGCGGATCCATGAGGGAGCTGACAAAGGATCCCGGTTGACTATGAGTCAAGAACTTCAAAAATCCACAGAACCACTCGGTCATTGTTTCGGACAATTGGAGACTGATGTGGATTGGATTGAGTGGAAATCTAGTCGAAGTGCTTTTTATACATCGGCTCAGATGCCTTTGTCAGCGACGAAGAATTCAAATAATCTAGTAGGAACTCTTCATTTGTGAGTTTTTTTTTGAAAATGCAATAGTCCCAGCGTTTTTTTTTCAGACTTTGCTCTGGTAATCAAATGCACACATTCCCATTTCGAGTCCATATAACACATCGGAACCATCATCCACCTACATTTTCTCGGAATTCCTATAAATTCTATGTTCCAACAACTCTTCCGATTGGATCAACTATCGGAATACTGGAAGTGAAGGATCAGGATCCAGTGATCTACAATTCTGAACGGAAATTGGCCTTCACAAAAGACGAATCTCTTGTGGAGATTCTCCAGGATGGAACATTCAAATTGAAGGCAGATTTGAGTGTTCTAACACCTTACACTCCACAAAGAATGCAAATTCTGGCGATAGACTACGGAAGTCCGCAGCTTTTCACTATCGCCAACATCACTTTGATTCCGGTGACAGTGTCAATGGTTAGAGAGTTGCATGTGAATGTGGCAACTGAAGAATATCAGATCTTCGAGTGGGAACATCCAGAATATGGGGTTGTTGATAAGTATAGACTGGGAATCCGGAGAGATGATCAAGTAGTTTATGAGGAGGAGTTGGAAGCAGCAAAGACCTTAGCGCTTACGAAGGTGGGTCTGAAAAAAAATTGGGGGGAAAATTGAGTAATAGATGTTTAGATTCCACTTTCAAATACCATGAACGTCAGTTTTCAAGTGACTGCGATTGATGAGAATGGGGAGACGTCGAGTGAATGGATACAGATTGGACCTATTGATAGAGGTGAGGATTTCTTCGAGAGTTTTGAACGAGGAAAATAGCATTTTTGAAAGTTTTTCAATAAAACGATGAGTAGAGATAAATTTTTCTATCTTTTCCTATGAGTTCCCGGGTTCTGTTTTTTGAGAAAACGTCAGAAAACTGAACCTGGGTTTGGTGAACGTAATTAACTTTCGTGACTCGAAACTTGAATCTCCAGTCTATCATTCAATCAATTTCCAGACGTAATCTGCAAAGGAGAATGTTCTCGTGGTGGAACACCTCTCTGCTACGTCGGCGCCTTCAACCGTGTCGAACAATTTGTCGATGCTCGCGGAGCACATTGCCTCTGCTATCCGGGTTTTATGGGTGTCTCGTGTGAAACGATCGGTATGATGAATTACGCAACATTTATTATATTTCTCTCTATGTGCGGCAAAAAGGTGTCCATCTGGTACATCCGGAGAAGAGAACACGTCAAACAGATGCCGCTCAAAGAGAGGGAGGGGGGATACACGCTTGCCTGATTTAGCCAATCATAATTCTTACGTCCCCCGGAAATCGCGTTCTCTTCGAAAGAGGCGATTTACTTCCGACACTCTTAAATACTTAATTATTATTTATATATTTGTGTCTCATATCAAATTTTATAGATCGATGTGCACCGGAGAGGACCGTTGATGTATGGGGAGGGGTTGATTGGACAGAGGTCAACACTAATATCTCTCTGTTGGTTCCTTGTGAGTTTTAGGAAGGGAGAGAAGAGGGATCCAAAGAGTAATATTCTTGCAGGCCCTTACAACCCGATCACCGAGAACAAATTCCTCGAGAGACGCTGTTCATGGGACACGGAAGCGGGACGGGCTGTATGGGAACGACCGCAGGATCGGAACTCGTGTCAGACACAAACATCTGTGTTGGCACATCTGGGTCTGATTGGCACTTACTCGGCAAAGGCGGCCACAATTTCCGCAATTAATACGGTGACGAGGTGAGCAGGATTTATGGAGGAATGAGAGTGTATTATAGGTAGAAAGGGACAAAGGAAACATTGGAATCGGTTTTGAGAAGAGAGGGGTGATACAAAAACTAAGAAGATGTTGAAAATTAGAAAATCAACTGAACTTCTTTCCAGATTCGTCCGCGACCTGCTCTCCTACCCTTCCTTCTCTCGAGAACTCTCTAAACATGCTCATTTCGATCAGAAAATCGCTGAAATGACAGCACTGATCCTTGATGCAGTCGTTCAAGCTGATCTCGATAGAATCCCAGGAAACACC